TTTTTTGTACTTTGATGTGTTTGAATCTTTTTATGGTACTGAAGATTTGCCTACGGATGAAAAAAATTAAAAATCATCTGTGGACATGGGCGTAGCCAGATATGTAAATATATTTTTATAAACTCTGAAGTATAGACATTTTTAAAATCATTACAAAATTGTGTTCAAGGCACATTGAAAACCACATACATATGTTTGTGATTTTAGAAGTTTTGTATTTTATTAAAAAAATTTATGTATTTTCCTAAAGAAAACGTTCAATTTTATTTAATGTTTAATAAAATTACACATCTTAAAAAACTTGTTAATGATTGAAATACTGGTATGGGACATAGAAATAGAGTGTTTTGCCAAAAATTACCAAAATTCGAGATAACTTATTTTACTGCATATAGAAAATAGTTGCCACTTTTCACTTGGCTGGCCGAGATTTCTTCATATTAAGATTTTAGAATTTTTGTGTCGGATTGAAAAAGTTGCGCTTGTTGGTGATGAATTTGCGGGGAGATGTGTTGCGATTGTTTTTATGAATGAATGTACAACTTGACCTTGTGAAATACGTGCATGTGTTTAGGAATGAAATAGTTATTGTTGTATTTGAATATGCGCGTAATTATGTATGTGTGTATCAGGGTTGTTGCGAATATTCGCATTCGCATTCGCAACTGCGGAGCTTCCGCATTAATTTTAACATTCGCATTCGCAATAGTCAATGCGGAGATTTTGCGAATGCGAATATTTTGCAAGTGGACCGATAAAACGTATATGTGGCAAAAAAAATTACATATTGTAGCCAATATTTTTGCCTGTGGTCGTAGGAGTATTTGTGTAACAAAACTGGTCAAATGTCATATTTATCAACTTTGATAAAAATGTCTTTAAAATATTATTTCTTAAGCTATATAACCGAGTTATCAATGGGCAGCCATAAAAGTTCCCACTTCTACTTGACCTTTGACGAACGTCAAAGAGAACATAGTCCTTTTAATAATATAATTTTTCTGTGCTTTAAATATCTGCTTTGGTTTCTTTCTTTATTATGATTTTTTTGGACCAATCTTAAAAAAAAACTATACAAAAGAAGAAAGTGTACACTGTAATTCTTAACAAAATTTTCGTGATTTGCTTTTGATGTTATAGGCGGCATACACGGTGCGTCTGACTCGTGAGTCGGTTTGGATGTGTTTGTGAAAATAAATATGTGTTAGTTACACCAACATGACTCCCGGCATGACTCTGAATGATTCAACTGTGTGTAGTCGAAGGCGAGTCAACACGTACACAAATGATTCGCGAGTCAGACGTACCGCGTATGCCACCTATTACATTTATTCGTTTGAATAATTTCAAATGGGGCTCTTTGGGGAATTTATTTTTAGAAAATTTTAAAACCAGTAGTTTTGTTTACTTGTTGGATAATATTTTTTTCATAGGGATATACATTAGATCCTTGGCTAAAAACTTCTGTGGTAAAACTGTCTCTTTTTTGCTATTTAAAGTCAAAGAGTAAAAGCATAAAAAGACGGCAGCGTTGATCTGGATCAACTCGGGAATTAACTGCAGTTGATCCGGATTAAGTCCGAGTAAGCTTTTAAGCTTTTAGCTCCTTCAATAAGGATTTCCAGTAGAAATGATCAACGTCTAACTACAAAGAGAATCGATGCTCAAATAATTAAAAAGCTATAGGTCTGACCTTTAATTAGATAAGAATTACGAAACTATTTGTTATTCAAATGCTTATAAGAAAAAGGGGTACTTTAAAAAAAAATAACAATATTCTGATCCGATTCGGCTGGCAGCCACGACTTTGAAAACAGAATTTTGTTCAAAAATAATAACAGGTTTACAAAAAAAAAGCTTATGCATATTAAACCAAACCTATATATCCCTATGTTATTCGACACGCTGAATGCGAATCCGAAGTCCGTTAGTCTCCACCACGTCAGGTTCGTGGTCAGTTGAAGGTCAAGTAGGGAAAAATTCATTGAATAAACCTGAAAACTCATATACATAAGGTTTTACATTCGCTGAACCCGAATCCGAGGTCCGTTAACCTCCATAATGTCAGCTTCGAGGTCATTTGAAGGTCAAATAGGACATAAAATGTATTCAATAAAAATTAAAAAAAAAATAATTGTTTTTGTTGTCACTGAAACCGAGTATGGAAGTCCCTTGACTCCTCAAGGTCATCTGGAGGTCATGCCCAGGTCATCCCAAGGTCAAATTCCGATGAATTTTATTGAACTTTCAGGTTTATTCAATGAATTTTTCCCTACGTTCAAATGACCACGAACCTGACGTGATGGAGGCTAACGGACCTCGGATTCGCATTCAGCATGTCGAATAACATAGGGATATATAGGTTTGGTTTAATATGCATACACTTTTTTTTTTTGTAAACCTGTGTAATCTATTTTCCATATCCATCTATTTAGCTCGCTATAAGCACAAATTTTTCAAAGCAGTCGCAGAAGAAAGTATTAAAAATAAATTACAAAAACTAAAATCGAAAAGTGCTCTAAAGTTACGGGTTCTCCAAATTCTGAAACAACATGAAATATGTATCTGGTTTGGCTTGTAAGCGCTGTTTAAACAACGATCTCGCCATTATGCTAGATTCTAATTGTTTTTTAAAAATACTTGACTACCGCATTCGCATTCGCATCCGCGGATGTTAGCTGTTAGATATTCGCATCCGCGGATGTCTAAAATTCCACATCCGCAACATCCCTGGTGTGTATGTATGCTGCCGTGAGTTATACATACCCTGTAGGGAAACTCCGAACTGGTGAACCAAATTTGTAGTTCCGTACTAGATCTTTATCGCCAAAAACGAACCAGTCCGATAGTAACTAGATCGCCACCAGTTCAAAAGCAGCGGTATGTGGTACTTTTAAAAAACAATTTTAGAAATCTATATCTAAAATGACGAATTTAGAACTGGTTCAAAACTATAGAAAAAGGGATGCAGAACGAACTAGATCTCATTTGGCGAATTTTGAACTAGTTCGAAACTACTGAAAAAGGGATGCAGCGGGGGTCTTGTTTACTTTAAATAGATTTTTGCTTGGCGGGTTTTTCGTTCAAATACGCTTTCAGTCTGCACGTCGCAGATGCTTTTTCATAGTTTGGTAATACAAAACTAATATTTGTGTTAACATCTTAACATTTTGGGATCTTCTGGAATATAACCAATAACAGTCAGCGCCTCTGCAAATCCAGCTACAGCCAAAGGTATGTAAACGTGTTTCCAAATGCACAATTTAATTTACATTCATTCAAACAAATTTGATTTCAGATTGAAAATACATTTCTCTGCAAATAACACTATGCGACAGTCAAAATCGGGATGGGATGAAACCAACGGGAAATGTTATATCGGTCAAACACAAGTTATACGTGGCCCGGCGTTTCGCCGGTTGTGGTTTCTGTTATAGATTGAATTATATTTTAAAGGAAATTATTAAAAATAAATCAATGCGTCAATGCGTCCATCTTTAAAGTGAGTTTGTGAAAAAACTAAGGCAGCTAGATTTGTTGCATTGAAAATAGCGTAGCATCTGCCATCAGAATCGGTAAAAAAGTAAAAGTCGATTTTTCGACCCAAATGCTGACGGCAAATCATCAATGAGTTTGCCAATTTCATATGCCTGCATAATTTTCACTTACATACGTTTTGCAATGCACAATTATGAAAACAAACACCGGCACATATTTTCGAACAAGGGTTTTCATATATGAGACATTCTTTTTCATATCGGGCATCAAATTTGGTGTCACACTATCGATTGGCTTCAAAATCTTTTTATGGGTTCTATACATGAAATAAGCTAACACGTGTTCGAGGATTTTTTTTCGCTTTTTTCTTTGCAGATATGATCTGTCAAAGTTTGCATTTTTTCCTGATTCTGACTAATCATGCACTCCTCCAAATCGTTATATCTGGGGTTCTGCCCATCGATAGAGACTTCATCTTAACGTCGTTGTAAAGCTAAGGAAACGGGCTTAATATTTCTATATTTAAGTTAGTCAAGATTGTCCTAATTCTAACTTAGCTACTAACAATTGAACTTTTCGAAGTGGATTTGCATAGTATACCAGTAAATTAGGGATTTAGAATTATACCATCGCAGTCCTTGTTCAATTCTCTATAAAAAAAAACGTGGTTCAAAAAAATTGGGGGTTTTCATAAACTATTTTTAGAATATTTTTCTTTATGACGAGATGGTTTTTTTTATGAGAATCAACTATTTTTTGTAATTTGTTTTCCAAAACTTATTTCGAGATTTATTTGGTAAGGTGTTAAACATCCGAGTTTTTGCATGAATTTAAATTTTATTGCAGATTCCGATAGATTACCTATCCAGGTATAATTACGGTGACCATATTTATGAGAGCCGAATACGGGACAAAAAATAATTTTGCAAATTTTTTTCACACTGTATTCCTTGAAACAGTATCCTTATAGTAAAATCACAAATTTGTATGATAATTTTCTCGAGATTTTTACCCCGTAAAATTTGTTAAAAAATTCGGTAAATTTTAGTATAATAAAGTGCAGTCCTAAGCCGGTAAGGCTTACGACTAATTTTTGTCAATTTTTTTTTGTTGACGGTGTTACGCATTTTTTTTATACAAAGTATGTATGTACGACCTGTTTTTTGAAAGAGAAGCAAATGAGCGGAAATTTCCACTCGCACTTTATTACAAATCGAATTCAAATGTGTGAAATATTGGTGAAACATTGAAGAATTGATTCTTATAGTTTTTTGCACAAAGTTGGAATTTTATTATTATATTGTTTTTGTTATTTGTTTTTTGTTATTTTTTTGGCCTTTTTAATAATTATATTGAACAATTTTATAATGAGCTCGAGGCCATTTTTTAAATGAAAATTTAT